TTCAGACGTGTGCTCTTCCGATCTCCCCAAAACCCCAAAACCCCGTATAATGCAATTCAAGATTTATCTTGTCAATTGGTTAATTTGCAAAATAAGTTAATTAAAATCTTAGGTGCATAGTGGAGGGATCTTTCACTTTTACTTTACTTTTTCAATTACGGTCTTTTTCTCTCTGCTCTCGAAGAACTACTTGTAACAGAGCTTAGAAGTGAGCTATACCTCTTGATTTGAAGGGGCGAAGTCTGCTCCGAACAGTTTGGCTCTGTGATCCTTTTTCTAATTTTCCCAGATTGCATGATTCTCACTATATTGTTCCATAACTGTAAGCATTGGGTATTCTCTAAGTTTATCATTAAGTGAGAGAGTGTATATGTGGAGTTGCTTGAATAGAGGGTGGCTCTTCAATTCTTATAGGATCCAGATAGAACAGAAATACACTCCTACGTTAACTTTTATATTTTGATAGTCATCTTTCCTAAGTTTTTGTATGGAATCTAAGGCAGCACTATAATTGATTATAAGTTAATGCACAATATTGGAGTATTTAGAAGTTACGTTAATTCTTTAAGTGCATGCTTCTAAAGAAGTTCAGGATAGAACAAGAATATCTCAGTCTCCTGTTAAGCAATCTCTTTATTCTTGCCCTGCTCTAGAGCATCTTGAAAGTAGAAATACTCAGGAGATTATATGAAGAACTTATCCTGCACTTTGGATCTGTCCAGCAATATGTTCAGCTAGTTTGAAAAGTAGTTAATGAACACACTAATAAATGCATTAATCAATTTTGTATTATTACTCCACAATCATTGGACTTTCATAGTTGATGAGCTATCTGATCATGATCTCTAGCTTGTAATTCTCTTGATTACCTGCCTCGAAATAAGTCACGCTCTTTTTAAATCCTATATACTCAATGGCATAATCCACAATCTCAAACCCTAAAGTCTTCTGCACCTTAACCATTTCCTCATCCTTTTCCAAACTTTGTTCAATCATCTAGGCCTCTGAGATATTCAAACTATTCAGCATGTGGAAAGAAGGCTTTCTCTTGTTAATATTTTCTTGCAACTTAGATCTTAAATTCTGAACTATGAAGTCGATGGCTGTGGTGTTGTCACTGCCGAAGGGCACAATGATATTAGCATATTTCATAGTAGGCTTGATATATTCATCGTAGGATTTCTTTACAAATCTATTGTACTAATACAAAACTCCATCTATGGTCCTTCCTCTTTCTGAACAATCTCTTAGTACTATATTCAGAGGTTATACTATGACTATAAAATACATCTTCTGGCCAGTCTCACGTCGTCATCAGTCAGAACAAAGATCTTTAAATCCATAAGATCTCTAATTCTAATATCATAGAGAGATAAAATTCCTTCGAATATAACTATAGGGGCTGAGACAACATCTTCCATTTGATTTTCAGTTCTATCATGATTAGCATTAGAATGAATGTAATGTAGATATATTGAGTAGTGCATTTTACCTTTGATGAGAGGTGAAATCATAGATTGGGACTTTAGAGTCATTACCAGCAAGCAAGTCCTTAATAACTTAATGAGCACAATCAAAGTCTAGAGCATTCGGGTGATCGAAATTGTAATTATTGGCATTATCATGATCCTCATCTCTATATCACTATCATTAACAGTTCATTCAAGTTATATTAATTGCATTTAATGATTATTATAGACAAACGGCATATAAAAATCGATGTAATTGAACCATTTTTGGAAATTAGACTTACGATAATCCTTTGTAAAAAGAGTCAAGTGAGATGTAAGTGCAGTTGAGTCCAATTCTTTCTGTAATTCTTGTAATCTAGAGTTAAGGGTGATTGTTAATTAAAAAAGTGATGAGTTCAAAAGATATTTGCATAAGCTGGTTTTGCCACTGGCAGTGCCTCCGGTCACACCGATGAGTAAAGGCTTTTAAGTTCTTGAACTTGGAGTATTATCCATTATTATTTATCCTGCTTGTTATTATAATTAATTAATTGCTATTTTCGCTTATTTTTTACTCAAGGGGTTTTGGGGTTTTGGGGTTTTGGGG